GCTTTCACATATTAGCACATAAGCTAGCATATATCCATAACTTAAAACCTTAAAGCATACTCTTAATTACATTCATCCAACATAAGGTTTTTCTTCATTCTTCTTCTTCTTCTTGAAGCAAACTTAATTCTCCACTATAGCTACTTCTTTTCCTTTGCTCTTGGAGGTTAAAGGCCCTAGGGTTTGTTAAATATGGGGGTAAGATTCTTGGAGAATCTTAGTAGCACATTGCATACACTACTATGGTTACACATCACAATGTAATTCAAGCTACATGCATACATACATACTTGAGTATTATGTACTTGCCATGGAAAAACATAACATCATAACATAACATATCATCTCAACCTTGAATAAACCAAGGTATACATGCATGGAGGCATCATGGCATAACATCATAACACATAGCAATGAACATACAATGTATAGTAACTCTAACAAGTAATAGAATGCAAAAGCTACCTTGTTGGCTTTCCTTCCTCTTGAACTCTTTTCTCTTGACTAGATCTTTGCCCCTTTGTTGTGTATAGCCTATTAGGCAACCAATGACACAACATTAAGCATTACTTCAACTCCATAACTTAACATAACCCCTTAAACCCCTTTTTTCTTGACTTTTAAGGTTTATTTTTCTAGCTTTGATTCTTGAACTTTCTTGGGCCTTTCCTACATAATTTTTCATGTAGAATCCATTTATCATATTAGTTTTATGAAAATCCAATCCCTTCCAATTGACTTAGCTTGGCCGAACCATATATATTTATAGGGAAAAGGATTTTCAACCAAACTAACATGTAACCACTTAATCTTTAACCTTTAACCATGCTTAATCTTCATCTAAACCATTCCTTATCATTTTGATAAAATTTGGGCAGCACTTCCCCTTAGGAAAATGACTTTCTATCATCATTAAAATAGCCTAAAACTAACATACCATCATTATAACTTGAAATGGAAGAGTTTTAGAAGCTTACCTTGCTTCCAAATGACTTTCTCTCACTAGAATTCTTCTCTTTCTCTCTCTACACGAAAATTTGCAAGAGGTTTCCTACTTGAAAGGTCTTGCATGAAATGAACATGTGAGGGGGTATTTATAGGCTCCATATTTCACTAATTCCACATATGCCCTTCTTGCATAAGCCTTAATCTTAGCCCTCCAATTCTTACCTCTTTCCACATGTACAAATCTTAGGCTATGTGGCTTAATATGTTGACACTTGGATGGTGAGTCATTAGGGCTTATGTCATCGTTCTTATCCATTAAGATTAATTAGGCTTTAATCAAGGTTAACTCTCTTAATTCCTTGATTAACTTGACTAATTACCCTTCTAGAAACTTTTGACTTTTCAAAGATAGATGGTTAGATCCTAGCCATCCAATGAACCATGTTTGCCACATGTCACAATCCTACGGAAGATGACTTAACCCTAATCATCTTACTTAAACCTAATTAGGTTTTAACCTATCTTGATTTATTTTTTTCTTTTTCTTTTTCTTTTTATTTTCCTTTTCCCTTTCTTGGCCAATTTGGGCATAACATGTGTCCTTGACATTCTTCAGAAATTTTATCACCCCGGTTGTCCTGACAGTCTACTGAATCGTAATATAATATTGGTTTATTTTATCTGATAGCTGAAAAATTCTAGTATCTCAGAATTCTTATATTAGATCACCATTAATTATATCTATTTATACTATAAAATTCATCTAATTCTGTAGAAAATTTATGAATTTTCTCATATTATAACTCAGACCATAAGTATTTCTTTTTAAATTTCCCATAACAAACTCATAAACTGCAGTTCTGGTCTTAAAAAATGTTAAAGCCATTCTGCTGGCCTTCAAGGGTTGAGACTAATTTTATAAATTCTATAGCCTCTTAGATCATACATCCCCATTTTATCATAACTTTTTGAGGTTTCCTTATGAACCAAACAATTAAATCTACCTCTACATCTCAAACTGAGCCATAAACTTATAAATTCCTTTTAAGTCAACTCAAGGGCATTTTCATCATTTCTCCTCGTATACAGGCCTTAAAATGTCATTTTTCATTTTTTGGAATTTTCTAGAATTTTTTTGGGTATTACTTCCATTTTTACCCATTCCTGGCCCGAAACTTTCCAAAAATTACAGTTTTGCCCCTGGTCAAGTAAACCTCATAAATCACCCTATTATGACTTCTATCATAACCTTGGTCTAAACTGACCTCTTTTCTCATTTATGGGCCTCGAGACTTCACCGGAGCCTCTACCTTTCTTTACATTTTAGTCCCTAGAACTTTCTTTATTTACAGTTTAGTCCCTAAAACCCTTCAACATTCCTTTTACATTTCTAGGACTCCTGCTCATAGGGATTTAGTAGCCTACCTATCTTAGGCCCAAAACTTGGGGTGTGACACTTATTATGACAAGAATATGATAGAAATATTACATTTTATTTTACTATAAATGAAATTTATAGTAACCTAAGCATTGGACAAACTGACATGACCAAAAAATATGAGATAGAAAGACAACTTCAAAACATGCCGCATGAGATGTATAAATCAATATGCAGTTAAGACACCATAATAATGCATACAAAGAGACTTTGAACATTATGGAACTTATAATCATCATTACAGGATGGGCTACTTATAGTAAGCACAAGCTTCAAAACTACTACTATCAATCCTTAATATAAAACCCAGTTAATTAATTTGAAGAGATTAAGGAAGTTACTAAATGACTTAATTATAACATATGTTATATGATCTCTCTAAAATACTTATACTGATCATTAGATTATATATCAATTTATAAGTGAGAAAAGTTATTCTGGAAAAAATGATAAATATAAATAGTTTAAGTTAATGGGTTAAATAGCAAATTTGCCCCGAAAGCTTTCACAGAGGAGCTATGGGTATCCGGAAGTATTTTTTGGAGTACCGTCATCTTGGAAGTGTGAAAAATGTAGCAATGTTGACTAAATCTAACAGAACCCAAACAAACATCATACACGGAGGATATTTAGACACATAGGATAGAAGGTCATTATCCATGCTAGAATAGTGCTCAGTCACCCATCCTTCCCCCCCTCTCTCATGTGTAATGGTAACGATATTTAAAGAGTCAAATAGAGGCATTGAGTGGGGTTTAGAGTTGGTTAAATAGAGGCATTGAGTGGAGTGGAGCTTAGGGTTGCAATGAGGGACGAGTGTAAGGAGGTAAGAGTGGGATGGACTAGGCATTGTTATTACGGCATGGTGTGCCCGGCCCTTCGCACTTCATTGATGGAAATGAACCAAAGAAGATTTTATGGATGCGAAAATTATCAAAAGGTTTGTTGTTATGTCATAATAATAATAATAATAATAGTAATAATAATAATAATAATAATAATAATAATAATAATAGTTATTATTATTATAAGAATGAATGTGTTTCTTGTAACACGATTATCTCCAATCTATTACTAACTTTTTTTAAACTCAAAATTTAATAATACCAACCATGGTGGAAAAAAAATCTTAGTATAATCTTTAAAAAGTCTACTATGGTTATAAAAAGAAATTTGATTTGCCAGAAATATTAATCATGATAGAAATGACTTGAACTAATCATTAGACATGTCTATTATAATTATAAGAGCTTTACTAAACAAATTGTATGAAAATCATAATTAATAATATTTTACAATAATGGGGTCTTGGGCTTTATGAAGTCCAAAACATCACATTTAACTCTAAGCCTATAACATGATATTTTTCAAATAAAATTCTTCCAAACCAATGGTAGTTAACTATTTTCGAAAGTTATTGTGGATCCACAATTCACAAACACAAGCAAACCCCTAGAGACCTCTAGCCTTCTACCAGCATGCAATCTAGCAACAAAAGTAAATAAGGCAATCAATCTTAGATAAATTAGAGTATGCAAAAAGAGTTATATGTGGCAATATATAAATATTCATCACATGACGAAAAAGAGACTATACAAGATAAACTTGATAGCTAAGCCTCCGCCACCTTCCCTGACGGACCAGTCCTAGAGCTATTACCTAAAAATGTTACACCACAGGGTGAGACAAAAGCCTCAATAACTAACAATCCCACTCATCAGGCATACAAGTGCTTGGGAGGTGTCAGGTGGAACAATTATAAGAATCATAACTTCACAATTGTCACATGGTTTTATATATATATATATATATATATATCAAAATATAATATCTCACTCTCAATTCCATCTTATTTCCTCACACCTTATTTCCTCTGACTGAACCTATGGGCTAGTACTGACCTATGTGACTGATAGCTCAACATAATAAGCACTACAAAAAAAGAGCTATTAGCGACGGAAATTCCGTCGCTAAATCGATTTACGATGGAATTTAGAGATGGAATTCCGTCGGTAAAGTATTAGCGACGGAATTAGCGACAGAAAATGTTCTGCCACAAACAGCCTCGTCACTAATTGGTTTGCGACGGACGGATTTGCAACGGATTTTCCGTCGCTAATTTTGTGACGGATTTAGGACGGATTTTCGGTCTCAAATTAGCGACGGAATTTTCCATCACTAAATGCGGTACTTTGCAACGGAATATTCCGTCGCCAATTCCGTGGCAAATAAAGTACGATTAGCAATGGAATATTCTGTCGCTAAATATTGCATTTAGCGACGGAATTTCCATCCCTAAATACTGTATTTAGCGACGGAATTTCCGTCGCTAATTCTACAATATTTGCCACGAAATTGGGGACGGAATATTCCGTCGCAAAGTACCGCATTTAGCAACAAAAAATTCTGTCACTAACTTGCTATATTTTGTGACGGAATTTTTCATCGCTAACTCACACACATTTGTGATGGAATTTGTGACGGAAATTCCTTGCAAATCAGTCACAAATTTTTTTTCTTCAATTTTTATGCTTATTTTTTTGATTTGCAACAAAATTTTGTCAATTATTTTTTTAAATAGGTTTTTTTAATAAATTGTTTAGAAAGAAATAAATTTCATGATAATAAGTAAAGTTTTTAAACTGCAAATAGTTCAATTTTTTTTATAAGAAACAATTTGGAATTTAAAAATAATCCCATACAATAAAATGTCATAAATTTAAGAACATTAAGGTTAATTGTGCAGGTGATGGAGTACTCCATTACCCTCTACCACGCTTTAGTCGACGACTTGCCATCTGCATATTCAAAATTAAATAAATGAATAAAAACTAAATCAATAAGAACTAAATCTTCTTTAGAAATTAACAAAATTATAATCTAATCTAAATGAAAAATAAATAAGAAGTTAATGCAATCAATCAAACTGAAAACTAAATAACAAATGCAATGTCACAACCATAATTTATGCATCATCTTCATCTTCATCTTCATCTTCATCTTCATCTTCATCCATATGAGAATCTTCCTCACCATCTTCTGTTTCTTCATCATCTTGAAGTTCCTCTTCTTCTTGTAACCCATTTAGTACACGAAGTTTTGGCAATAAGGTGATTGCATTGCATAAGTAAGAAAGTCCTCTACACCTTGCACAAATTCTATTGTAACCCATTTAGTACATGGATCTATTCTATTGTACATCCATCTCCGATTTTCTGGGCCTTCCATTCTAAGAAAGAGGTGTGCAATAATAATATGTAAGAATTGGAGAAGACAAGTAATATATATGGCAAACAAATACACACACACATATGTGAATAAGCAAAGTTAAATGTCAACATTTGTATATGAAGAAACTAACAAGTTTTATTTAAGGACAACTCCTACCAAAGACAAGACTTGCTAAACAATCATTAAGAGATAGCTTTGAAGTACAAAAAAAAAACTGAAAAATATTCTGAAAAATGTAAGAGATAGGAATGTATTGAGACTACCTACCAACAAAAATCAAACAACATATATCAAGCCAGATAAAAAAAAAAACAAAACATTATACGTCAACCCAACTAACAGTTAAATGGTCACCTTACTTGAATAGTTCTACAACTTGTGTTTGGGTTGCCACTAGACCTCTAGCTAACTCTATCAAAGAAGCTACTGTATCTCAAATTATTATAATCCAACCCTGCACACACAATCAGCTCAACAAATTAAAACCAGAAGAAAAAAAAAGCATTCACCAAGCAACCAAGCATTTCAATAATTGGTAACTCTATACATAGACAATATATACGTACATCATGTAACGTCCTGAGTTTTATCGGGTTTTAATAGCCTTTTTTTGGTTGATTTTAAGGATAGATTAGTGATTTAACCTTGATCTTGGTGATTGGCTTGGGATTGAGGTATGTTGGAGGAATAGGTGAACAATCCCTCTCAGGGTTTGTTCGTCGCGGTGAAGTTTTACTTCACCACGGTGAACCGGGAGTTCCAAGGGGGGAGTGTCTTTTTCGGGAAGGTTTGGCCGCGGCGAAATTAGAGGGACGCCGCGGTGAAGTTGTTCAGGTGAGCGAGGTTTTCCTCTCGGAAGGTCTCACCGCGGCGAAGTTAGGGCATGTCGCGGCGAAGGTTTTCTGGGCAAGCGAGAGTTTTCTCTCGGGAAGCTTTCACCGCGGCGAAGATTGGAGTTCACAGTGGCGAAATCAGGTTTTCAGGTGAGTAATCCCTCTCGAGATTAGTTCGCCGCGGCGAAGCTTTGGGTTCATCGCGGCGAAATGGGTCGAATCTATATAGTCGCTGGAGGGGTCAGATGTGCGAAAATTAGAAAATCTGAAGGAAGAGAGAGAGGCTCTGCTAGGGTTTCAAATTTTTGGCTTGGAGGGGGCATTTCTAAGGATCCATTACCTCAAGTAAGTGATTTTAACCTCTAATCTACTTTCTTGCTTGGAATTTCTGAGGATTTATGGTGAAACCCTAGAGTTTTCTAGGTTGTTATGGAATTAAGGTTTTTGACCGATTGTTTTGAGTTTAATCGATTGCTTTGGGTTAGTCTAAGTATTTAATCGGTGTAGTTTTCTTGGATTTGAAGAACTTGGAGGTTTTGAAGTTAGGGTTTATGAGATTGGGAGGTTTGTGATTGAGGATGACAATGTGGAGGTTGATTTTGAGTTTTGTGATTTGGGTTATGTTAAGGAGGGTTAAATTGGATGTTTAATCCATTTAGAATGTTGTTAAGACTTCAATTGTTCAAATGGGATGTTTGGGTATTGAATTCCTATAGTGGGTCCTCAAGGTTGAGTTTTAATTGATGTTTGGAAAGGAATTAAGGTTTTGATGGATTTTTATGACCTTGGAGTGTTGCCTTGATGGTTATACCGTTTTTAGTTGGGTAGAGTTGTGGTTGGAGCTAGGAATTTTGTGTCCCCAAGTGTTGTTTTGGCCACATCATTAGTTGAAAGATAATACATGTTGGTTGTGTGCTTGTGTAGACCGGTTGTGAGCCTTGTTGGTGCACGGGGTCGTGTCGTTGGTTTGTTATTCCTTGCTCAGGTGAGAGGTAACCACTTTCCAATCCTTTGTACATGCTTTTGTGGTATTGTGAGTGGATTTATGTTTTGTGCACCGAGTAACAACTATGTTCAAAGTTTATGTTGTATATTGAAAAGGAAAACCGTCTTGTGGGGTTTAAATTGATATTGATTGAATATGGAACTTGTGAAAAATAGGCCACTGAAAGAAGTTAGTTGTGAAATGATCATTTACTCTTTGATTACGATTTGAGCATGATGCATGAATTGCGAATTGGTGAGAGTTTTGATTGTTACTACCACGTGGTAAGGCCTCCATTAATGCATGATGGTTGGCTCTTTACATTCCCCATAGTGAGGGATAGGCCGGGTTCGGCTCTTGAAAATCCCCCAAAGTGAGGGATATGGTTGATGGGATTGCATCATTGCACTTGCATGACTGGTTGTGGCTATCATTTATCATATTACTTGTGAACTGCCCCACTTGACACCTCACGAGCACCTATTTAGTAGTACCTTGAATTGGAAAGGTTGGTTACTGGGACGTTTGTCTCACCCCGTGGTTTACAATGTTTTCAGGTGAAGATTCTAGGCGTGTGCCATCGGGAAGAGACGTAGAGGCTTGAGCTTGGTTAGCTTTAGGCCTCTAGCCCTTGTATATGTATGGCTAGTATATATTGCCACATTTAGGACCCCTTTTAAAATATTTTGATTACCCGGCCTTATTGTAAACTGGAGGGAATGTTATCTCCTTACTTTGGTTGGCCATAGGCCATTTCCAGTGTCTTATGAAACTCTGATTTATTTTGTTGGAAACCATTTGGATAGGCTGATGTGATGTCTTTTGTTACCCGGGCCGGAGGCTCGGAGCCCTAGTGGATGTAAGTGAACGATTTTAGTTGCATGCAATAGAGTTTGAGTTTGAAACGAGTTTAAATGTTAACTTCAAAAATTATGCAAATTTCTTTCTACTATGGTAGTTTGTTGTAACAGCTTTCCTTTTCTACCATAGTAGTGATTTTATGACGAGTTTATACTTATTTGGAGTTAAGGGTTTTACAAATTGGTACTCAGAGCCAGTTTGTTTTTTTTGAAATTGTTTCTTTTCCTAGTGGCAATATACATACTTCATACATACCTTCCCTGTTTGTTTTGTGTTCCTTTCTTTTCTTTACTAATGAGGGTTTCCATCCTTAGTTGGGGAGAGGAAGGATGGTACAGACACGTCAGACAGATCCAGTTGGTAACGGACTGCCTCAAGAGAATGAGGCCTTTCTGAGACAAATAAGGGAGATGATGACAGCAGTGGTAGATGAAAGATTGAGAAAGTTTGAAGAAGACTTCACGAGGAAGCATCAAGAGTCGGTCAATTAAGAGGACCGAGAGAACGAGGTGACTATGGAGGCACAAGGAGAAGGAGAAAGGGGGTTTAGAGGTGGTGATCGAGCTAGAGACTTACCTCAGAGGGAGGAGTATCGAGGAGTTAGCCAGGGAGGAGATACTTCAGAGGGAGTGATTTACCCTCCGCTACTGAATGACATCACCAAGGTATGGAGAGAGGTGCATCGTCATGATCCTCCACAGTTTAAGGGAAGTTTGGAACCGTCAGATACAGAGAAGTGGATTGAGCGGATGGAGACAATCTTTACTGCTGTTCCTTGTCTTTCCCCGCTCAAGGTACAAGTGGCGGTCACTTATCTTGTGGAGCAAGGAAGACATTGGTGGGATAGTGCAAGACCTTCTGATATATCTCAGTTAGACTACGATACCTTCAAGCAGATGTTCTATGATCATTTCTTTCTGAAGGAGTTGCGAATGGAAAAGCAATTCCTGTTCTACTCCTTGAAGCAGGGAGAGATGCATGAGGATCAGTTTATCACAAGGTTTATAGACTTGGTAAAGTATATGCCCAGGCAGACAGAAGATCATTCATTCTGGCTAGCTCAACAGTTGATGAATCGTGCAAGGCCAGAGTTGAAACAGCAATTGGCCCTGTTAGAGGTCAATACTTTTGAGGAGATGTGTGTGAAGCTGCGGGTAGCAGCTAGAAGGACAAGAGAGGTGGTAGAGGCAAGGAGGGCTGAAAACCAAGCTCGAGCAGCCTGTTAGCCTGGTCCTACAAGAGGAGTGGGGAAAAGAAGTTAGTACAGCTCTGGGAGCTCAGGTAGCTCAGGGAGAAACAGGAATCAAGAGCAGAATCAGAGGTCGAACGCTTAGAGGGGCTTTATGCAGAGGCGCCAGAATCCAAACAATCAAACTAGCAGAGGACAGGGCTCCCGTCGAGATTCATTAATGACCACCCCGAGTGTTACTGGACCGTGGCCCAGATGTGGGGGTAGGCATGCGGGGCAATGATGGGAGTGCTTTCGATGCCACCGGTGGGGACATATTGCCAGAAACTGTCCAGAGAGTCAACCAACACCTCAAGCTGGTCGTTCTACTGTTCCGGGATGTGTCTATGCCATGACAAATGAGGAGGCTTCTGCATCTCCAAACTTGATTCGAGGTAACATTCTACTTGAGGGGCATGTTATTTCTGCTTTATTTGACTCAGGTGCTACGCACTCCTTTATTTCTGTGGACTATGCTCAGAAGTTGAGCTTGCCTGTGGTTGAGCTACCATATGATTTGAGAGTGTCTACTCCTGCGAGAGTCACTGTCGTAACTGGAAGAGCGTGTCTAGAGCTTGCACTTTAGTTTGAGAATCGAGATTCTACAATAGATTTGTTTTGTCTACCTCTGAAAGGTATCGATGTGATTATTGGCATGAACTGGTTGATGGCCAATGGTGCAATCCTTGATTGTAAAAGGAGGTTGGTGACGATTCCGGTAGGTGCCTTATGTGTTGAAATGTTAGGTGGTCCAGTTTTGTTGTCAGCTGCTCAAGTAGAGAAGGTGGTGAGGAAGGGGTGCCAGGCCTTCATTGTCTTCTTTTCAATTAGTGAGGATGAGGCAGGAGGAATTGAACAGATAGCTGTGGTGAGGGACTACCCTGAGGTGTTTTTAAACGAGGTTGCAGGACTACCTCCAGAGTGGGAAGTAGAGTTCTCCATAGAATTGGTTCCGGGAACCACCCCAGTCTCAAAGGCTCCCTATAGAATGTCTCCTTCAGAATTGGTAGAATTGAAAAAGCAGCTAGAAGAATTGTTAGAAAAGGGACTTATCCGACCAAGTGTGTCACCGTGGGGATCGCCGGTTTTGTTTGTGAGGAAGAAAGATAGTAGCTTGAGGCTGTGTATCGACTATCGACAATTAAACAAGGTCACAATCAAGAACAAGTACCTATTGCCTAGAATTGATGACTTATTTGACCAATTAGTCAGAGCGTCAGTTTTCTCTAAGATTGATCCGAGATCAGGATACCATCAGTTGAGGGTACGAGCAGAGGACATTTCAAAAACGGCCTTTTGAACTTGTTATGGACACTATGAGTTTTTGGTGATGCCTTTTGGACTGACAAATGCTCCAGCTGTCTTTATGGACTACATGAATTGGATCTTCCGACCTTATTTGGACAGATTTGTGGTAGTGTTCATCGATGACATTCTGATTTATTCTAGAAGTGAGGAAGAACATTGAGAGCATCTTCACATTACACTACGGATTTTAAGGGACCACCAGTTGTATGCTAAGCTGTCAAAGTGTGAGTTTTGGCTAA